AGTGTGTAATATACCAAATTAAAGACCTATATGTATAGTTTCTAAATATTTAAATCTCTCATCAATTAGAGTTTTATTGAGGAAGTTATGGTCAATTTACTATTGACTATTCAGTGGAAGCCAAAATATGTGTGATGATAAAAGAAATGGTTCGGCAGTGGGGCTAAAGTTATCCAAATTACACATATAATATATCAAATTAAATCTTTATCTGTCTAATTTTCAAATATTCAAACTGCTCATCAATTAGATTTTTATTGAGCAAGTTATGACTAATTTACTACTGATTGTTCAGTGAAAATCGAGAAATTGAAGAAACTAAAATGTGTATGATGATAAAATAAATGGTTTGGCAGTGGGGCTACAGTATCCAAATTAAGCGTATAATATATCAAATTAAATCTCTGTTTATCTAGTTTCTAAATATTCAAACCTCTCATCAATTGGATTTTTATTGGGCAAGTTATGGTCAATTTACTACTAATTGTTCAGTGGAAGTTGAAATGTGTGTGATAATGAAAGGAATGGTTCGACAGTGGGGGGCTACAGTAATCCAAATTAAGCGTATAATATATCAAATTAAAGTCATGTCTATCTAGTTTCTAAAGACTTAATCCTCTCATCAATTGGATTTTTATTGAGCAAGTTATGGTCAATTTACTATTGATTGTTCAGTGGAAACCGAAATGTGTGTAATGATAAAATAAATGGTTTACTTAACCCAAATTTAAGAGATTATTATATTAGGACTGATAAGAAATATTTCAAATGACACCTATTAATTGAAAAACAGAATTAGCCAAAATTAATTCATTTAACATATATACTCGCACATCAACATGACATAAACAATAAATCATTCATATAACAAATTAAAACACACGAATGTCTTTACAGAAAACATACTCAATAATTAAACTGTCTTTACTAAAATAGATATGACACATACTCATAGTTCGGTTGATCTTAGTAAAGTACATGAACATTTTCTTGAAAACAAACATAACAAAATTTAATCGATCTTCATGTTAAGATTTGTTAAGGAACAATTATTCATTCATATAACAACTGTTACCTGAAAACGAAATCAACAAAAGTTAATTAATCTCTATATTAAAATTGTTAAAGAATACACTTACCGTTCAGCAGGACTAACATAATTAATCATTCAAATAGATTGACCGAACAAAAACAATCATTCAATAAAATAATAACCGTTAAAATAGTTAAGAGATATACTTACAATTTCATATTAAAATAGTTAGAAGATATGCTTATAGTTCAGAAGAACGAATCAAAATAACAACTAATTTGACAATGTCAATCGGACATCCTACCTTTATTCCATGCCAATTAATGAATCTTTGACATGTAAATAGCAACAAAAACATAAATAAATAAACAAACAATAATCAATTAATAAAATCATGAAGAACATACATATTATTGACACAAACTAACATGACCTATAAACAACTAACAAAAGACCAGATGTATTATTGATATCAACTAACATATTGCGATAATACACAACTGAACATACACCCTTTTTATAACCCCTTATTTAGACATTTCGAATGCCAACACAATTAAATACGAAGAAAAGTTTGTAATGTCAATACAATGCACCTATATAATTATTAATAAACAAGCATATTTTTACTACCAATGCAATGCATTTATGTAATCCAATTTTTGTCTATTTATTTAGACTTTGAAATACTAATGCAGCAATTAATATTGTTTACATCATCACCAATAAAATTCAACTATATGACAATCACAAATCCAAAGTGTCCTTATGGTTAGACCTTTAGAATGTTAATGCAATGCAGCTATGTAATCCAATCTTTATGTTTATTTATTTAGACTTTGGAATATCAATGCAATAATTAATATTGTCTACATGATCACCAATAAAATTCAACCACATGACAATCACAAATATAAGGTGTCATTATGGTTAGACCTTTAGAATGTCAATGCAATGCATCTATATAATTAGAATTGTTCCCATTTTTTTAATTAATTAATAATTATAGATGGAGTAATAAATACCAATCCAATGTGTCAAGATAGAGCAATATGATTTGTTTGTCAATCCAATGTGTCAGAATGGAGCAGTTCTAGAGCTTCCAAATCGTGCCACATGGCGAACAACTCACATGGGTATTCATGGCAAACTTCGAAAAACCAGCATGAGTATTCATGAATCTTAGAGCTAAAAATATCTCATTAAACCAACATCCAATGTGGCAAGATAGAGCAACTCTACAGCTCCAAAATAAAACAATTTTAGAGCTAAAAAAAAAAAAAAAAAAAAAAAGTTTCCTACGTGTCACTCAAATAAGTATGTTTTTATCTTTGGATTTGGAATACCAATTCAGCAATTAATATCTCTTTACAACATCACCAATAAAATTCAACCACATAGCTACCATAAATCCTATGTGTCAAAATAAAACAATTTTATGAATTCCAAAATGTGTCGCATGGCAAACAACCCGCATGGGCAGTTAACTTTATATATATATATATATAGTTTCAAATTTTTTAAGAATATTGGACAGATAAATGCAATGTATTGAATTTCACTTTACTTTCACATGTAATACATACTCCCTTAGAGATCCACCCCTTTAAGATAAAAGGACATATAAGGGTAAAATGGTAATTGACTTAATTTCAATGTACACTTGATGCTGTCTTAATGAAATATCATTTTCTGGGGTTTTTTTTTTTTAACACTTTCACATAATGTTGGGATTTCGGAATCGCCTAATCTCTTAGGGGGCAAATGAAATAACTGATTAGAAAAAAAAAACCTAAAAAAAAAAAAATCTTGCTCAAATTGTTTGTTTGTTTGTTTTTTTTTTTTTTTTGGCACTCTGTGAAGTTCATGTGTTTAAAAGCATTTAGGTGAGATACTCCCCATATGTTAATTTTATTTGCCTAAATTAATAGAATAATCGGATTAGATTCCGGGAGTGTGTTTGTTTTATTATTTTGAGTAGTATTTTTGAAATATTATTGGTAAGTAAAGTTGAGTGATTATTACGGGGTAGAATTTAAAAATTAAAAAAAAAAAAACCCCTAGGGTTGCTAATTTAACTTAACACCCCAATATATAAGTTTTTTATAAAATAATAAAAACACCCCCACCACACACAGTTGCCAAATTCCAACTACCACTGTTGGAATCTGGCGTTACGGTGCACAAATGGCTGGATGTGCATCGAGATGGCCTTTTCCAGCCAGATCCACAATGGATCTGGCCATAAAAGGCCAGACCTATGGCTAGATATGGCCGTGTTTGGTCATCAACGATAGCCAAAGATATGGCTGTTGTTGATGGTTAACGACGGCCATGTCTTGACCGTCGTTGAAGACCAGCTACAGCCAAAGATCTGGCCGTCAACAACCAAATATTTGGCCGTAGATTTGGCCGGTAAATGATAAATGGGCACACTACTGGCCAGATCCAACCGGTACTGGGGGTGTTTTTGTCAATTTCTAAACTTTTTTTAAGGGGTGTTTAGTTAAACTAATAAACTTAGGGGGTTTTAAATAGTTGAATAAAATATAATAATATTTTCATAATAGGGAAACAAACGTATATTTTGGAAATAGTATTAATAGGATATGGAAAAATAATTAAACAAACGGACCTTGGTATAGAAACTAATGGGTGTTAATTAGAATTCACAAAACATATGGGAATTAATATATCACCCCAAAATTGGTGGGCTTACGGTGCTGCACCAAAATACTAGTGGAGGCAAAGATTCTCTAATTTCTCTTCATAGTTGTCATGAAATTGCTTTTTACTGTCTCTTTTTCTGTATAACTCACCTTCCAATTCTTATATCTTTTATTCTACTTTCTCTTTTATCAACTTTAATTACTTTTTTTTTTTTTTTGACTAATAAAAAATTTATTAGATCTATAAATATATACACTTTTAAGTTATTTAGTTTTAATATAGGATATTTTCTTTTTAAATAAAGTGTTCATTATTTTAAAAAAAAAAATGATCTTATTCAATAAACAAAATTATTTAGTAGAATATTTAGTTTTAATATAGGATATTTTCTTTTAAAATAAAATGTTCATTATTAAAAAAAAAAAAAAAAGATCTTATTCAATAAAAACGAGCTTATTCTTTTTAAATAAGAATATTTATGAGCAAAAGTATTTAGTAGAATATATATATATATATATTTTTTCCAACATAGGCAAATTTGAATAATTTCCTAATCTAACTTGTTGATAATTTATGACTTTGAGTATCTTTTTGCCATATTTTTATTAATTAACTATTAATATATTTCTAATATATTATCAACTATTCAATGGGCCATTTATAATTTAATGAAACACATTTGTATCATTCTCCAATCTAATATTGATCCTCATCTTATAAACTATTGTCTTATCAGTCACTAGCTAATTAGATGTGAGTCTCGGGTTCCCCCTTTTACTCCTCAGCCTACATGTATTAGCAACCGTTTCTGGCTATTATTCCCCTCCCAAGGACAAGTTCTTATGCATTACTCATTTATCTATAATTGGAAACACCACTTTTCTCTGTGTTTTCCAACATTCATCTTAAGCTAAGATCTTACAACTCTTTCAGTTCAACTTACAAGTATTAAGTATGTTTCTAGCGTACATCCTAAGCTAAGATCTTACACCTGCATATGTTAAACATGCCTCTCCTGTGTGTTTGGATCTCTGTATGAGATTGATTCATAATTGACATTGATTTTAGCTTTTTTGAAATAAAAAAAATCTTTTTGTCGTTAATAAATTTTTAGTAAGCATAAATATTACTAAATTATACTCCTATGACTTACTTTAACACGAAAACTTAACAGTTAGAAAATTACTACTATTTTTAAAATCTTAGGGAAATTTGTATTATTTTATCATAGCTTTTGGGGAATTAATGTTATTAACCCTTCTAAAAACCAATTAATATTACAAGTCCAAGTCGTAAAACTCGGCGATCCGAGTTGTCTGCCCACGGCCTCTACTTTTTCGATTAAAAATTTATTATTCATTTTTTTTTTTAAATTTAATTTTGTCTATTTCTCCGTCTTCTCCGTCTCTCTTCCTCTCTCAGCTCCTGAAACTTAGGGTTTCTTTCAACTTCTTCAGGTGCATTCTTCTTCTTCTTCTTCTTCTTCTTAATTTTACCACTAATAATAATAAGAATTAATAATACTAGTCATTACTATTGTAATTTTGTATTAATTACTGATTTAATCTCTAATTTTTGGTTAATTTGAGTCAATTCAGGTGCAGATCGATCGTAGCAGAGTCGGGTTGATGGAGAGATTCAATTAACGAAAATTTAAACAATGTATTCAACTCCTAAACCTCCTAAACTCTCCGACTCTAATCGCCGAATCTTCGACAGCAATGCCTCTAGTCTTCGCCTTTATCAAGTCTGGAAAGGAAGCAATGTAAGCTTTGAATTTTTGTTATTTTAAAAAAAAAAATTATTTTATCAAAGCAAGCGCTTTATTTCACAAATTGATGAAATTTAGGAACAATGTGAAACGATCAATTAAATTTTAGAGATGATTTTTCTCATCAAATTCAATTTCCGCTGAATGAGGATATCTAGAGTGGTGTTTGTACTCTGAAACTGGCTTTTGAGAGGATTTTACTTGATGCAGAAAGTATCACCATGCATAATCAGAAATTTGAAAGGTTTTAGAAAAGTTTCTGCTCATCAAATTCAATTTCCGTTAAATGAAGAGGGTATGTAGAGTGGTGTTTGTACTCATAAAATGGCTGTGAAGAAGACTTTACTTGGTGCCGAAACATCACCATGCTTAATCAGAAAATTAGAAAGGTTTATTAGAAAAGTTTAAAAATGATTTTTCTTATTGAATTCAATTTCCGGTAAATGAAGAGGATATGTAGAGTGGTGTGTGTACTCAGGAAATGGGTGTTGAGAGGACTTTACTCAGTGAAAATAGCCCTCATCATATTGGTTTCTCAAAATAAGCCTGTATCAGAAAATTAGAAAGGTTTATTAGAGAATTTTAGAGATGGCTTTTCTCATCAAATTCGGTTTCCATTAGATGAAGAGGGTATTTGGTGTGGTGTTTACTTAGAAAATGGGTTTTAAGGGTAGTTTATTGGGTGTAAATAGCCCATATTAGATTTTTAGATGGGTTAATTAGGGTTGTCAGTTTAGCTAATGGAAGGTAGTGAGGGGTTGTCGACAATGTGATGAAATGTGTTGTGTGTTGTGATGTTGCAGAAATTTTGCTTTGGCGGGAGACTGATATTTGGGCCTGATGTGCGGTCAATTTTCCTTACACTGATCCTAATTCTGACTCCAGTTATCCTGTTTTGTGGTTTTGTATCTCAAAGCCTTATAAAGCAGTTCAATCACGATCTTGGGAATCTTATTGTTGCTATCTGCGCTCTCTTCACTCTATATGTGAGTTGTTCTTCCTCTCTTTTACCATGTTTCTCTATTTGTTCCTTGTAAACTTATTTTTGTCTTTTGAAATGCCTTGAGAAAACTTAATGGAAGTAAAACAGAAATGGAACCAAGAATCATGCAATTCAATTTACAGGATTCTGAAATGTCAGTTTTATTTTTCCAATGACTCAGGAAGATTTAGTTGAGTCAATTTTGTTCTTGGGAACCTAAATATTGACTGTATAGGGTCTCACTAGTCACTATTGAGGTTGATATCGGAACTGTCTTTGACTTTGGCTTAAGGCTGAAACAACTTCTCTTATCTTGTAATTTATACGTTAAGCTATCAGTTTGTCTGTATGCTTTGTAAATATTTCCTTGGTTAAATTGTTTTGAAAGCTCTGATTTTAGATTTTCCTTTTATACTATTGGCTTGTCAAATTGCAGGTTGTTTTTCTTCTCTTCCTTACTTCTGGAAGAGACCCTGGCATTATTCCTCGTAATTCTCATCCTCCAGAAATAGATGAAGATGGGTCAACTATCTCTACAGATTGGCTAGGAAGTCAAAATGGGGGTCACACGATACCACCCACAAGAGACGTTATTGTTAATGGTATGATAGTCAAGGTGAAATATTGCCAAACATGTATGCTGTATCGTCCACCACGATGCTCTCATTGTTCTATATGTAACAATTGTGTTGAGCGTTTTGATCATCATTGCCCATGGGTGGGGCAATGTATTGGGAAGGTATGTCTAATTTTAATGAGCTTACTTGTTGCTCTTTTATTAACTTCATTTTAAATTTTGAAGTATCTATTTTCAGGGTTTATTTTATTGTTTAGAAATGATTATGAAGTGCCAAAAGTACTAAGGATAGAAGAAGGCATTGGAAGAGAAGGAAAGGTTTGGTGAGAGATAGGGAAGAAAAATCATTGATTGATCACATTATTGCTATTATCAGTTTGTATCTCTAGATACAAAAAATAAAACAATTATCAGTGGCCAGGTGATAGATTAAAAGGTTTCATAGAAGTTGTTGAAATGTTACCCAAATAAGAAAATCAAACTAAAAACTAAATCTAACTCAACCAATTACAATTAACTCAAATAAGTAATATCCCTAATATAGAATGTTTCCTTGAACAAGAAATGAGTCTTTGGTCTTGGTTATTAGTAATTTAATGGAACTAACATATGTCCATACATGTAACAATATACATTAGTAGGAAGTGACAAAAAGCTTTTAGTTCATTGGTTATCTTAAAGTTATCTGGACAAGGAATAACATGTGTTCTTAGGAAGTATCAAAATGCTTCTAATTAATCGGTTTACTTTAAAGTTTTCTCTGATATAAACTCTTTTTCTGTCATTGTTCTCAATCCAACTCCCAGTTCCACTTGTATTCTCTATTACATTTCTGCCACTACATCATAATTTGTAAAAATCTGTGTTCAAAATTTTGGGCTGAATGAGATTGTAAAGCTGTTTTTATAGTTTATGCACAATCAGTCAAATATGCTTCAATGAGGCATCTTACTAGATATTCTCTTGACAGTGCAGTTGCAAAATTTTTATTGATAACTCAAAGGGTTAATTCCTAACATGGATGTCCTGGGACTAATTTGGATTATCTGAACTTTCAATATTGACAAAAAAAGTGAACCAAAACCATTTAATAGGGTTATACTGGAAATAGTTGTATCTCCTTTGAAAATGTACTTGTCAAATGCATGATTCCTCACAGAGAGATCAACTTAGTAGTTCAAGAATTAATTCTAATCTATAATGTGTTTCATTTGTTGTATATTTATTCTTTACATGAGTTAAAAATTCAACATAAGTAACCCATATAACCATTTTCTAAATTTTTTTATCAATGATTGAGAGTTCATATATTATGAAGTTCCTTAATTTTGGGAAAGATCTCTTCTCATATGATTGCCTGTTTGTTTAGGTGCTTGGATCATTTAAAAACAACCCTCTTATTCCCTAATTTCAGATCTCTGGAACAATTTTGCAGGAATAAAATATATAAGATTTCTTACATATGATCTAAAATATTCTCTTAGAATGAACTTAAGAGAATGACAATTGCTTAATGCGCTGATAAGGTGAATGTGAATTAATTTATATTATAAAGATGCTATTGCGCCTCTCTTGCGTTGAATAGTAATCTTGGGTAATGGGCATAGGCCCAGATCAATATCTATTTTGATTGTGCATCAGATCTGAACCTTTTATATTTCATTTCACACTTTTACTATCCGGAAGAATTATATAACTGGGCATTTTGAGTATATTTTCATTGGTTTCTTTAGGATGTCTTCTCCATTTTCACAATCCTAATTTGTTGAAGGTGGTTTTTTTTTCCGACAGAGGAATTACAGATTCTTTTTCATGTTTGTGTCCTCCACAACCATGCTATGCATATATGTTTTTTGCTTCTGCTGGGTAAACATCTGTAACATAATGCATAAGCAGCGTACTAGTCTTTGGAAGGCTTTGATGAAGTCCCCTGTTTCAGGAATTCTGATTTTATATACGTTCGTAACTGTTTGGTTTGTTGGAGGTCTGACAGCATTTCATCTCTATTTAATTATAACCAATCAGGTTCTTATCTTCCATTTACTTCAGTTCGTTACTCCCTTTTATTTTTCTGCTTTATGTTCAAGTCTTTTATTGAATTTTATCTTTATTGTTTGCACAGACTACGTATGAGAATTTCCGGTATCGGTATCACAGAAAGATGAATCCTTATAACCGTGGTTCTCTTCGAAATATTGTGGAGATTTTCTTTTCAAAAATTCCAAGTTCTAAGAACAACTTTAGGGCCAAGGTTAAGGTAGATTCATCTGCCATCTTTGCCATGTCATTGGGCCCTTCCAGGAGCCCAGAAGTGCCAAAAAGAACCTCCAATGTAGATATGGGAAAGCGGCAAGCTGTTGCTGCTGAGGACTTCGAAGACATACAGAGTCAGCTTGATAGTGTCGGTGGGTTGCAGAGGTGTAGGACCCAGCCAAGGCATGCAAGCTGGGATCTCAGGAATGACTGGGAGAATACATCTGACATGCAGATGTTGGCTGCAGAGTTTGGAATGGAACATGGCATATCAGAAAGAGAGAAAGTTCGTGGCCGTCAGTAAAGTCAGACTTATAGCCCAAATTGTAGCAGCAATCGGGTGATATTCTGAAATTAGAGCTGTGGAGAGATTCGTGCACCTGGCTGATTGAAATTGGTACTGACATTTTTCCTGAACAGGAAATTCATGGAGGGTATTCATAAAGAGGAAGCAATTAAGATAGGAAGGGACTGGTTTTATGAATACTTGGGGGTGAGTAGTCTTGTGCTATTATGTGTTCGTTCGATTTTCTGGGGATTTAGTCAGGCAGCAAAAAACCGAAATCCTATTGTTGAATAGTTGATGCAATGCAGATGTTTCTTTAAACGAGTCCCCGATATCCATAATCCATTCTCTTTCAAAAAAAAAAATTCCCACTGGAGAAGGCTCGACTCTTGAGCTCATTGTTGTAGAAACTTTGTAGTAGTTTTAATTCAAACTGGCAATTTGTAGCATTCCATTTGTATAGATGTTTTTAAAAAGAGGCCTCTTTTAGTGTTCTGATTTCAAGTTAAAATTGGAAATTCGTTTGTTGCTGCACAGGTTGGAAAACTTGTCTAGGAGTAATTCATGATTCCATGTTTGTTTATATATATTAGAAATTGTTTCGGAAATTCGGAATTGAATATCAGTCGTAATTAGAAAAAAAGTTATATTAGAAGCATTTTTGGTAAATAATAGTTCATATTTATATGGAGAACGATTGCCCTACACATTTTAGAAATTATCACTTCTCAGTCATGACTGACCAATATCAAATTAAACTAATTATCAACAATCTAATTGATGGGGATCTAGTCTTCAAGTGTAAAATGAGCTAAACAAAACATAAATTTTGAATAAAAGAAATTACTTTCGTGTTAATGTTTCTGATCTATTTATAGAGTTGTAGCTGTGATAATGTCTAATTCTATTATTCACCATTTATTGATAGTTAATGAGTAAGTTATAACATATATACATACTATTTTATAGTTGTTTAATTATAATACCACTAGAATAAGATTTAAAAAAAAAAAAATTGTAATTAAATTAAACAAATTAATAAGACTCAAATAGGAAAACCAAACTGAACCGAGTTAAACCTTGTAAATTATGATTTCCAATTGAAATAAAAAAAATTTATTGTAACTAAATTCATTTAGACAAATACTTAATTTTCTCTTTGTATATGTTTATGAGACAGAAGGGCTCAGCATTATTGTACTTATAAGTTGCAATAAATCGGTGTTAGAATTTTAGTATAGGATTATGTCGGACATCAACAGAAGAAAGTGAAACCCTCGATCAGCTTTTGATGAATATTAAATGAAAATGAAGAAAATAGTAGATCGTTAAAAGCTTAATAGAGTTCAAAACAGAAAATGATGGAGTAGACATATTTATGATGATATCATCATTCTATAAAATTGAGGCGTTAGCTTTCTGATCAATCACTTCATACTTTCTCAACCATATATGGCTGACTCAAAGATCGGAAAAGGTTATGTCGATAACTCCACTGATGCCCTTTCTGATTTAGAATATGCCTTTTGTGCACCACCAGATATTGTCGGAAACAATATGCCTGCCTCGGTGCCGATCCCAGCTTCGGCGGGTGGGCATGCTGGCTCAACGGCAAATCTCGCCCGATTCATCTGACTTTTTTTTTTTTTTTGGTTTTTAACACTCTCCCGATGCCATTGCCGCGTCAGGAGAATGCTTCAGTTTCCGACATCTGCATGACGCTGGAAACAACCAAAAACCCTGCTTGGTGTATCCTCTTTTCTGGTGGTGGTGGTTACAGGAAGACGAACTCAAAGCTGACACTATTCATTGTAATATCATCAAGACTCAAGACGCATATATATTCTATGGATATTAGCAAGTTCAAATGGATAACTGTTATAAATTATAACTGGCAAGTTAGCAATACACAAATCTGTATTGCATTTTCATGCTTTCACAAAACATAAAAACAATTAATGTTCCTTAATCTCTCAATCTAATCATCAGAAACTTCAATTTCTCTCTACCAATTTGACTGCAAATTCTGCAACCTTTGCTGATGCTGCCCATTTTGATAACCCAACCCCATTATGTTTCCGTCATAGCTCCTTTTTTTCCCGAGACTCGAATGCCCTCCAGGTTCCACTCCCAAAAAATCAAGTGTCATTTTCTCATTTCCTCCCATGTACATTTCTCCTCCCAAATTTCCATTTTCCGATTGCATAAACTGAGGATGAGACTCGAACAACCCCGCCTGAGAAATATTATAACCTTGTCTTGGATCTCCAGGCTCCATGTATAAATTACTTGTAGTTGTTGCTATGTTGCTGCAGCTTCCTGATATCATTGAACCCTCCTGGATTAATCCTGAAGAGGTCACGTTGCTGTTAGAATAGCCTGAAAAGCCTTTGAGGAGAATCGGGGAGATCGTGTTGTCGCTGATTTTGGCACCCATTTCTGCAGCTTTTTGCAGCAAGGCGGTTGCAGAGGTGAAGGTTGAGGCACCTAGTCCCATGGAAGCGACATTACTTGTTCTAGGAATTCTCGGATTGAGAAGAGGATCGAGATTGGTTGAGATCATGACTCCGGCCGCTGAGCTCAAGGATAATGGTCTGAGTGAAGTGTCCATGTTGTCATGAGTAGAGATTGAGAGGTTCATCATTGTGTTGGTGTTTGTGTTTGAGGCTGCAGAATCAGAGCTTGGCATTGATGAAGTGAAGAGTTCTTGGGCTTGGTTCTGTAACATTCCACCTGTGGCAGCTGCAAGGTTGTGGTTCACCTTGTAATTTTCCTCTGTCAGTGCATCACAGAAGGCTCTATGTGTCACAAAGCTGTCCTTCCTGCAAAAAAAAAAAAATCAATTTGTTTTTCAAAACCACTCATCCTAAAAGATTAATCTAACACAAGTCCAGGCAGACTTCTAATAGGTCTCTCTCAAGTGTAACGTGGGCCAACATATACTCAATGAGATGAAACAAAGTAGCTATATAGATCCAAAAAGATAAATCAACATACGGATGAAAATACGATAAGATGAGTCTTTGATACAATATTGCTAAGTAATCACTTAATCTAAAAGTTTAAGCTAATAGATAATAAGGATTACACTAATAGTAAGCTTAAACGCCTTTATATGTAAAGTGGTTTGGATAGATAAAAGTTGAAACAAACAAAATTAAGATATAAATAGACAGCAAATATTGTAACACAAATTTTTAAATTTACCTCTAACTTCTTCTTTTCAACAATTGATTGTTTTGAATCAATGGATAAGGATTTGTGTTTGTGTAAAAAAATTATGTTAAAATAGTCTAACCCTATTTTAAATAACTGTTTGAAATAAAAGCTTGTAGTGTATGCTCTGAAACAAAGTTATGAAGTTTTACCTCGAGAAAATTGTGCTACAATCGCAACGATATTCCCTAGTCCCACAAATTTTTGTGTGAGCTTTCCAGTCAGATTGAACAGCATAGCGTTTAGAGCACTTGTCACACTTCCATTTCTTTTCTCCATGCTTTCTGCAGAAGTGCTTCTTGATGCCAGTTAAGTCGCCTAGAGCCCTGCTTGGATCATGATGCACACAATTAATCTCAGGGCAAACATAAACCCTCTTCTTAACTTGTGTGGTTGACCTTTGCTTTAACTTCCAGGGCAAGTTATGTCCTCTCCTGTGAAGCTGAAGGTTTTGATCCCTCTGGAATCCTTTATGACACACCTCACAAATGTACCTGTTTGTTGCCATCAGTGTCCTTGGAGATAATGCCACAACTTCTGCATCTGGATCTGCACAAAAACACATAATTTAGAAATTTATTTTGAGTGAACCTTTCCGTACCCTTTTGCATCAGGATTGATGCATGGGGTATCTAAAGATATCGCTTCCTATTAAACTAGATTTTTATTTTCTTTTAATGTTTTGAAGGTCTGCATCCCTTTAATAATTTCAAGTGGCTCTTCTGCGTTCCTCTTTAGGGGTAAGGTTCATCGTGTTTGACATTACCCTATCTTGTTCTCTTGTTTTCCTTTTTTGTTTAAAATTTTTTCTCGTTCCATCGAGCTTTAACTTAAAAGCAAGGTTTATATGATCAATACTATTGATTTTATTTGACTTAACAAGCATTTGAGCAGAAACAAATCTACTAATTCTTTGATCTAACTAGTAAGAGAGATCTTAAACTAAGAAATAAATGTTGAAAGCTAATTAATTAGAAGCAAAAATAGTATCTCGAGCAATTGAAATAATCGGATTTGTAATACTCAATTCGATGGAATTATTTTATCTCAAAATGGATAATATGAATTAATTAAACAAGATATGAAGCATGGGTGCTTGCCTGGATTTCCTGGAAGATTTCTTTTCTTTTTTGAAGATGTGGTGGAAGGAATGGAGCCACCACCAGCGCCAGAATTTTCAGCATGAGAAGGACTTCCATTAGAAGACTGAGATATAATAGTGCTTTGAAGCTGTTCATCTTCTTCAAATTCCTGAACAAAGTTTGACATGTTTTGAGAGCTCTGATAATTCTTTCCCATTTTGAATAGAGGGAACCTCAAAATATATGCTAAGGATAGCTGGCTGAGGTCCTGGAACCTGACAAAAAGAAGAAGAAATTCTACACCAACATCATCCAATAGACCATGATCCATTCATTTTTATTTATTTGATTTAGAATTCTTTGATAGAAACATTTTTGTTTCGTATTCTAGTATTTCTTAATTTTTAATTTTCATTAAAATAGACATTTTAAGTTGGCTCTATTTGTCCTATACGCTAGGTAAAACAGTGATCAAGCTCTTCATGGAAACAAAACACTCTTTGAGTCCTTAAAATAACAATAGGGACTGCTTTTTAACCTTATCAGTTCCCTGCAAGATGATTAGGGGCCACATGAAAAATTAATTTTGGGGTTAATTTTTTTAGTATACCTAAAAGACAGTACCTTTCTTGTTGACGTGAGAAAATTGCATTAACAAAAAGGCACCTATCTAGTGTAATAAGTTTTATCATATAAAATGTATATTGTAATTTGTAAAGAAAGTAACATCCTCATGATCAATCAAACTTATTATAATCATATCAAGAAGAGAAATAAAATTGTTTTTAATTAGAAAAATAGAGGAAGATAGGTGTCAAAATGAATAAAAAGAGGGTGTGGGATGAATTCTAACATAACATGTTTGAGAAGCTAAATAATTAGAACTACCATAATATTACTATCCTAAAAACTTATCCTAAATTTCATATCTTAAGTGATGTGTCATTGACATGCAAATTAAATGATGATGCATTGAATAATATGACAGTGCCTATATGATAACACATCATTTGGTACATGAAATTTGAGACTACTCTTAACATTATTTATTAGAATTAAGAGAGATTATTTTCGAAATTCTACTCGAGCCGTAGCCAGAGAGAGCCACCCCTGACTCCGCCCTTGCCTGCATGCTTATAATTAATTATCCTAAAGAAGAAAGATCAAAATTATATCAAACTAACTCTAGGTTAATGCCAAATTATAATGAGCTAATCAAAGGGTATAGATCTTTCGAAAGGTGCTTGCCGTTTATGTCTTGACATTAAGAATTAGTTGAGACTGTAAATTAAACTCATATGATCTGAAGAGTTGGAGACAAATTAATGAAGACTAAGAAGATGAAGCCAAAGGAGAGATCCGAATAAAGAGACAATTTTGGCCTTCTATTTTAATTATTTTATGATGTTATGCCTACCTGCTTCATTGTTATCCACCTGTGATATTCATCACAACTTGGCTTATATTTGCTTGTCATTCCTATTTGTCATTTTCTCCGTGTATTTGAATGAGTTTACCATGATCAAATACATATATTTATTTTTAATTAAACAGTCTGTTTCCTACTAATATCGGTATTTTAAAAGAATAGCCGGTATCTTTTACGAATATTTTCATTAATTTTTTTTTTTTTCAATTTTCACTAGTGAAAGTTGTTTCATGTATGTATGAGTTAACTCTTGTAAGCTAGACTTGTCACTAAATGACAAAAAAATCTTTCATGTTAGAGTTAAACTATGCACGATGAGTTAGAATATTAAACTTTAATTCTTACTTGTAAAATTCAGGTCTGTATATTAAGGTTGCATTTTTTTTTTTTTTATGTTCACATTTGAAATTATCGGTGTCGGTTAATAGTTCACCATCATTGATAAACACAAAAATTAAGACGTTTTGCATTTGAAACTATAAACTTTTTTCTAGTTTTAATTGACAATGGTAAAAGAGAGTCTTAATTTTAACATAAATGTGAATGTCTACACTAAAGAGTTTTCATATGAAGTCAAATTGAAACAACAAAGACTACAAAAAAGAAAGAAAAGCTATAAAGAATCGGTTTAAATTATTCTTAATAAACCAAAAACATCTTCTACGATAAAAGTGTCTTAAGAACTCATATAGTAGACAATTATAAAATCAGTTTCATTTAAACTTCTTACATAACTTGGAAAATTGATCTAGCTAGTCTTTAGTATTAAAAAAAATTAAGTAAAGTAGTTCTATAAAATGAAACTGATTTCTCTGAAATTTAATTTACCTTTCAAATCATGAAAGATAAATTAAAAAAATTGAACATCACAACAAATACACTTATACCTCCCATTTCATATTAAAAGAATTGAGTCCTTAGACCAAATTAATTAAGTTATTGCACAATCAGCACTTAATCAAATTACTGATGCCTCTCATTTCATATTTCATATGTCATTCCAACTCTGAGAAGCTTGCTCTTTGGAATCTCCGTAAGTCTTTTCCCTTTCCTGCAATTTTTCTGAAGAAAACTGTAAGCATAATTCACAATAAACCTCTTGAAAATCGACGAATTTTTCTTTGTCGACACCTCTGATTCTCCAAAAAGATACACTACACCTTTCTCCATTGCCTTTTGCACAAACTGCATTTCCTTTTCAGCTTCAGGAATCGGTGCATCAAATGGCCCAGATGAACCTGTAGAGTCTCTAGGATCCGTCAATTGCTCAGCGATTGCCACGCCGTTAAATATGCTTTCGTGGTGAATGAATTCTTTCAGTTTTTCCACCGTCTCTCGAGTTCTACCTGTTCCTCAATTTTTTCTCGGTATCCATAACTGACAACGCAGCGAAACATCTTGTATTCCCTTGGTTCAACGCGGCGAAACAGGAAGCGTTCCTCTAAGAGGACTTTGCTGATGGGAACAGATTTGATTGAGACAAAAACTAGAACTGAGTGAATGGATGGAATGTTGGCAACAAAATGAGAGAAAATTGGAGGAATGCCCTGGACAAGTTCGGTATATAGAAGTGCGAGTCCTGGAACCCGATTTATATTCTGATGCGTAACTAAATCTATGATGTATTCAGGAGAAACCTTGTTCTCAAGTTCATAAACATATTTTTGTTTGTGGACATAATGCCATATTCCCATCACAAACATTAAAATAAGTGAGAAGCACAGTGGAAGGTAACCTCCTCGAGTAAATTTGTAGAGGACTGATGATAAAAAAATCCATTCTATGGTCATAAATCCCACGAAGAAAAGAAGCACCCACCATATCTTTGTCTTCCATACAAGCAGCATTACCAGTGTAACCATGCTTGTTGTTATCACCATCACAGAGACCACAACAATTCCTGCATATAAAGTAGTTTAATTGTGTTTATAAACCAGATTACCCAAAAGCTTAAGCTGATAGGTATGTGTCCAACATCAACATTTAAGTATAACAGGCCTATTCACGATTAACCGCATACAAAATAGTTTAGTTTTCGACAGGTAATTAACATGTTTCCTCAGACAAAATTTGATAGGTAAGGGTTCAACACTAACATTCAAGTCTATAAGACCTCGTTACGTTTTATTGCATACAAAGTACTTTGCTTATATGTATAGAGTCTAACATTATATTTACGACTAACATGCCTCCTTACGTTTCATTGCATACAAAGAATAAACTTATATATGAGGATTTAACAATAGTATTTAAATCTAACTGGCCTCCTCATGTGAAATATGTATTAGTTAGCGAAGATAATTGATTGAGTGCTTTGAGAAGCAAGAGATTCAAACTTAAAGATCTTCAGCTCTCATAACATGTTAATAAAAACCATTTAATAGAAAAGCCTGATAAATTATGGTCCAAACTCTAGTCTAACATGTTTATGAGAATTGATGAGCTTGACATAGAAGAGAATTAAGAACTTTGACAAGTTCTAGCACATCAATAAATCCAAAGTAGAAAATTTGATGTTTGGAGCTAATTACCATATGCATTGCCAATCTGTTCAGTGGTCTTGAAGGTAATAGTGATAACAACACAGCAAATCATAAGAATGTAGTTGATTTCAGGAATGTAGACTTGTCCCTCATGCTTGGGTGAAGTATGAACAACTTTAACCCTGGGGAAACAACCAAGAGTCAAGGATTGAGCAATAATTGAAAATGCTCCTGATATCAAAGCTTGACTGGCAATAATGGCAGCTAGTACTGCCACAATGAATGTTGGCCAGTACAATGGATCTGCATAACAATGAAAATATTGATCCTTGATAGAAGAAATTGCAAAAAGGAAAAGAAAAGAAAAAATAAAAAATATGACCCCTCATGGAAGAATCCAATTGACTCATCATTTTAATTTTATAATGTAATGGACTTCAATCCTAGAAATCAAGACTTTTATTTTTGATACCATATTAAGTAAGTTCCAACGTTAATATGTGAGTGTCGTGACAGAAACTTACGAGGAACGGCAGCATAAAAAGTATCTCCAACATCTCCTGGATTTTGGCTGAGATATGATGCTTGGCCACCATATACAATTAGGATTGAAGGCATCACAACGCCAGAGAAACTAATCTGCAATTCCATGGAAAGACTTGTATTAATAACACATAAACATTTTACGAAAACTCTCCAGTGAAGATGTTCATATAATCAATAAAGAAAAAGTTTAATTGAATTTTGAGTTTTAGTGTTAGATGACACCAGGAATTTATTTACTGACGCTATCTAACAAGATCCGCAGGAGAGATGGACTAATATTTACTATACACTTACTTGTATTGATCGAACGCTAAAATGACCAAGATCAGCAAACATGGCTTCAGCACCTGTAATGCAAAGAATAACTCCACCAAGAGAAATCCATGCAGTCTTACCATTTCTTTTGAAGTAATCTATAATGTACAATGGATTGATAGCTCCTAATACTCCAATGTTATATGTGAACAAATCATAAAGACCGATCACTGTGATTAATCCAAACCACAAAAAGATTACGGGACCAAATATGACACCAACTTTATCTGTTCCAAATCTTTGCAGGCAGAATAGACATATCAAGATTGCTACTGATATCCACGATACAGCTTCTGCATATAAATCAATTAGCTTAACATTATTAACTTTCAAATTCTGACAAGTCTGTCTCCAAAATAAAATACAGAAAGAAGAAAAAAAAAATATTTTTGCATACTTAGGCAGTCCAGATCCCACAAAAATGTTTAATAATTATGTAAGAATATATAAATTTCATCCCTAATATTCATTTTTTCTTAATTTCGGTCCCCTTCATTGAATATCAGCTGGCCCTAAAATTGATTTTCTGGCTCTGCCTTTGATGTTATCGAGCGGGTTGATTGTTCTTATGTGATAATGAAGATGGTGTCAAGAAAATGTATTTTGATTAAATTTTGTGAAATTATGACCAGATTTGAATAGATTTTTTCTGTATTTCACTTTACCAAAAATAATATAACTCCCTTCCAGTATGGATTTTGTTTTTTAGCCCGGTACCGAAAAAAGCTGTCCCTCTTGATGTGCGGAATCAAATCGATTTACATCACAACATCTTGTCTTGTGTATGAACCTAAAGTACCGAGCAAGTTAACTATTAATTACTGACCTTTGATTTACATTTAAAAAAAAAAAAAAGGCAAATGTTCACACTTGAAAAGGATTATATATACGTAAGTAGAGTACCTTGGCCAAGAGACTTGATGCCACTCACAGTTGAAAGGACTGAGATGCATGGAGTGAGAACACCATCTCCAATAACCATGGAAGTTCCAAGGATGGTGACAAGGAAAAGTGAGACTTTAGCAGCTCTACTTTTCTCCAATTTATGTTTAAAATTTTGAGCACGTTTTGTCTCTGTGGACACTGTGTCAAGTCTGTAGTGTGATAGCTCCCTGTCCTCTGGCTGAAAATTTGGAATCAACCCCACTTTTGCACACCGACATAGTAACGAATAGATTGCAAATGTACCACCTGCATATACACAATAATTAGTAATTAATTTCATAATAAATTCTAATTTTGAATACTTTTGTGTCAACTCAAATCAATTATGTTGTATGTCTATTTTTATGCACATGTGGTCGAGATCTTTTTTTTTTTTTTTTTTATAATAATATATTTTATTAACAACTAATTTATAATCAAATTTTGTTTTTGTTCAACAAAAAACTTCGTTCAGAAGATCACCTTGATTTGAGTTGAGGTTTTCTGGAAACTTATACTAATTTATAATCAAATCTATCGATAGAAAAGACAAGAAAGATAATATAAAAAAAGAGTAATTATATATATGAAGTATTTAGTTACTCACCATCGCCGTGGTCATTGCACCACAACACAATACAAACGTACTTAACCAATGGCACAAGCACTATTGTGTAGAAGATGAGTGACAATACCCCAAGAATGTCATCCTTGTTTTGCATACCATCCGGCACATAAAGAGGCGACGTCCCGATGTCACCATATACTACCCCTAAGCTCTTAAAGGCCAACCCCAACGTCGTCTTCCAATCAAACTGTTAGTTTACAATATGGGAGACAACATGGTTAAGAAAGCGTCATATTTATAATATTAAACTTTGATGTATAACAAAATATAACTTGCTACTGACTGGGTCGGCATAGCCTCGAGGTGATGTAACTTTTTCGGCCTCTATATTAAGTGAGTCTACACGACGGAAATTTCTTGACGATGATGTTAGCTCTTTCACCTTAATTTCCATTCCTCTAGAAGATTCATTTCCTTCACCAAAGTTTTTCATTAAATGTTAACAAACCAAAAAATCAGTTATGGATTTACCTCTCGCCCTCGTCCATTATCATGTAATTAGTTGATTGAGATGCCAAGAAAAACGTCTCAGATACCGAATTGATGAAAGAGGTCTCCCATGGAACTGAAATAAGAAATGTTAAAAGCCGAAAATTTATAACTGTGGGTCAAAGTTAACCGAAATATATTCAAATAAAGGAGCACCAACTGTTCAATTCTTGTACTTGTGTGTATTTTTAGAGGATTGCATTGAAACTTTTCTGTTTTTCTCTTCCGAAATTCTGAGCTTGCACTTGGTTGTTTCCCACTGTTCGGAGGGATTGTTTTGGGATTTGCAGCTACACATACAAGATCATAGACTTGAGAATTTAAAAATTAAAGTAACTTGTTTTAGGATGAACCGTGTTTAAATAATTAAATCTAAGTCAATTAATTAGGCCTAACAAAGGTTGTTGAATGGAATTAATCTCTATTAATTTGCAGTGATAATTCTCATTTTTGGTAGATAAAATTTTTTATATTTGGAGAAACTTTTCCAAAGATTTTTATGATACCATCATTTGTTATGTATAGATATAAAATATGATAGATCAATATAATCTATTTCAGCATCAAGTTTGGCACAACCATTATGGTACATCATGTGGCATGTACAATCTAACACAAGGAATCTACTAAAACACAAAATTTTTCAAATTCTCACATTCGAAATTAATTGTGGTTCGAATTTTAAAGAAATCATGACATCTATATTCAATAATTTTCTTATACATATATTTTGTTTCAATGCAGAAACATGACACATGCACAATTTTAGTCATATCAATAATTACCATATATATAGTAGATTAAAATTAATTAATCCATCAAAACCATCCCAATCCGGCAATCCCCTCCCAAACCCAAACCCAAATATATAATTCATAATTACCCCACTCATTCAAACCAAATGACAATCTCAACCTCCACCAAGAGAAGTTACATAAATATATACGTTTATTTAAATTTGTCACACTGTGGCCTAAATAATTAATACATAAAATCCCAAGATATCATCATCTTGTTAAAAAAAAAAAAGAAAAAAAAAAAAAAAAGCATACCCTTGGAAACTACATCACAAACGGTTCTTTAACAAAAGGTTTTTCAAGGAGTTACAGAGCCAGGCATGTACAGAATCTGCACTTGATTTCAGGAAAATCAGTCAGATTTCATAAGTCATTCCAACTTTGAGAAGTCTGCTCTTTGGAATTTCCAATATTTTCTCACTTTCCCTGAAATTTTTCCTGAGAAAATCATAGCCATAATTGACAACCATTCTCTTGATAAAAGATGATTTATCGTTAGTCGTAACTTCTGTTTCTCCCAAAAGATACACCACTCCTTTCTCCATTGCTTTCTGAACATACTGCATCTCCTCTTCAGCTTCCGGGAGAGGTGGACCGGAGATTCTGTTGGAAGAATTTACGGAATTGGCAGCATTAAATGATCGAATTGAACCTGAAGAAACGCGCGAAACTGCAGCCTGTTGAAGTGAGTCCTCACTGTGAACTGTTGATCCTTTTACTCTCCCTTCATTATTAACCAACAAAGTGGAACGCTGAGGGTCGGTTAATGGCAGAGAAACTGCTTCAGGATTTCTTGCTTCCAAGATGCATTGTTCCTGGCGAATGAATTCTTTCAAGTGATCCACCAATTGAGCCTCAAACTTAGCAGGTTCTTCAATTTTATCATTATATCCATATCTAACAACGCAACGAAACATCTTGTATTCCTTCGGTTCAACGTATCGAAACAGGAACCGTTCCTCCAATGCCACCTTGTTAACTGGAAAGGACTTGATAGAAACGAAGACGAGAACCGAATGGAGGGAAGGAATGTTGGCGAGAAAGTGAGGGAAAATCGGAGGAACACCTTGGACAAGCTCAGAGTATAGAAATCCCATTCCAGGAACTCTATTTACATTTGGATTTGAAACCAAATCTCTGATGTATCCGCTGGAAACCTTGTTATTAAGCTCATAAACATATTTTTGTTTGTGCACATAATGCCATGTTCCCATAATAATCATCAGGACTAAAGAAAATGCCAGTGGAAGATATCCACCTTGTGTGAATTTGTAGAGAACAGATGACAGATAAATAGTTTCAACGGCAAAAAAGAGCACAAAGAAAAGAGCAATTAACCAGATACTTGTCTTCCATATCACAAGCATTATCAATGTAACCATAAATGTTGTGATCACCATCACAGCCACCACCGCAATTCCTGCATCAAAAGATTTTTTTTGTAAGATTCGAAACAAACCTTCATGGTAATTCGAAGTCATAGTCTAGTATTATTGATTAAGGTTTAGTGTTACTATTCCATGCATGATATGTTACGATCTCATAACAGATAGACATGTGTTGGGTTTTGTTTATAAGAATGGGTAAATAACATTACCTAATAAGCTAACTTGTTCGGTAGTTAACAATCAGTGACAAATGGTATCAGAAGAAAACCAAATTAGTGCTTTAAGTAGTTGAACCTAACTCACCCAGATAGACTGACTAACAAAACTAGTTTTTTGGGCCCAACCCAATCTAATGAGTTGAATTATCTAACAAGTTAGTCTTTTTGGTGTGATCAACTCTGATGAATTAGATCACCTCGCAAACTAGTCTTTTGTGGCCTACCTTACACAGGTGAGTTGGACCTAACAACCTGGTCTTTTAGGTTCAGCCTGCCCAAGTCAATTGGACTGCCTAGCAAACTAGTCTTCTGCGGCCCAGCCTGCCTGGTGAGTTAGACTACCTAACAAGCTAGTCTTTTGGACCTAGTCTGCCTGGGTGAACGAGACTGCCTGGCAAGCTAGTCTTTTGGATAGGTAAGGTCAGAAGTTATACTTAAAATAATTCCTAACGAACCCTCTTGTCGATTTCAATAATTAAAATATATATATATATATAAAAATCTGGAGCTTACCATATGCATTGCCAATCTTTTCTGTGGTCTTGAAGCCTGCAGTGACAATAACACAGGCAATCATAAGAACGTAGTTGATCTCCGGAATGTAAACTTGTCCCTCATACTTGGTTGAAGTGTGAACAACTTTAACTCTGGGGAAACAACTCAGACTCAACGATTGAGAGACAATTGAAAATGCTCCAGAAATCATAGCTTGGCTGGCAATAATAGCCGCAGAGACAGCCACCACAAACATTGGCCAGTATAATGGATCTGCGTAACATTATTTATGTAGCTTTATTAACACTCATTCTATCATAAAAACAAGAAATTAAAGGCAAAACTTCAATGCCGAAACCTAGACTTACCAGGACAGGATTTATAAAATGTGTCCAACACATCTTCTGGAAATTTTCTGAGATAAGCCGCTTGTCCAATATAAGCTGTTAGAAGTGCAGGAAACACAATGCAAGAGAAACTCATCTGCAATTCAATGATGATTTATAGGTATAATTTCAGAAATAAATGGCATATAAAACCATGTTGACTGAAATGAATAATGAATTTCATAATAGTTAATTTTGTGTAGAAATTCATGTTGGTTGTAATGAAAAGAATTTTAGATCTACGACTTACTTGAATTGCTCGGACATTGAAATGACCTAGATCAGCAAACATTGCTTCAGTACCTGTCTCATTAACAAAAACAAACAAAATTATAACTATTTATTGGTGAACTTCTCCATTTTTTAATATACAGATCTAGTTAATTGGCTATTCCTGGCTAATGCTAGAAAATAATCTTTTAGTCAAACTTTCTCACATTCAAAACTGCAAACTTATATATTTTCAGTATTAACCAATCGTAAGAGATATAATTGTAAAAAACGAGAGCGTGTGTGAATCTTCGTACGATGAACATGTACAATTAGAGCTCACCTGTTATGGCAAGAACAACTCCACCAAGGGAAGTCCATCCATGGCTACCATTTCTTTTGAAGTAATCTACAATGTATTTTGGGTTGAAAGCACGTAATACACCAATGTCATATTTGATTAAGTTGTAGAGCCCAATCCCACTTATAAAAGAAAACCATATGAAGACTATTGGAGCAAATGAAGATCCCACTTTATCAGTTCCAAGTCTTTGAACACCGAACAGCACTATCAAGATTGCTATAGAAACCCCCACAACGGCATCTGCACAAAATATATCGACATAGTTAGTCCACGTATGAATTACTCCAACTAATAAATTAATTAATCAATTTCTTGGTTTGATACTTCTGGAAAAATCATTTGTAATCCTAATATATATATATATATATATAAAGAATTCGACAAGGTTCCAATGAAAGGAAAGTTCCAGTCTTAAGAAAAATTGGCGTAATCAGGAAACTAACTCGGTGTAGGAAAACTGGTGTAACTAGGATTAAGAGCCTATAAATACTTAGTGTTAGTGATTCTTAGAGAATTTATTCGTAAAAAATAGCCGAAAAAATAAAAACTAGCCCATGATGTTAGTAAAAATTTGAAGTAAGAATATTCAATTACTATACATAAAATTCTCCATAAAATCATGTTCGTTGCAAATTTTTCTTATAGATATTCTAATCTTTTCTAAATAATGGTATCCGAGTCAAATTTTAGAATCATGGAGATAGACTCATTTATCTAGATAAAGAAGATATGCATGGTCTCTATTTCCAGAAGACACAAGTTAAGATTACAATTATATACTAAATTTTGATAGATACCAACAGATTGAAAAATGTTTTTTTTTTTTTTTCATATTCTTCTTATAAAATGGATCCAAAAAAGAATATGAGTAAGTGCATTACCTTGACTAAGTGTGTTACCATCGCCAACAGACTTGATCCCACTGACAGCGGAAAGGACTGAAATGCAAGGAGTCAAAACTCCATCTCCGATCACCATGGAAGTTCCAAGGATAGTGACAAGGAAAAGAATGGTTTTCGCATAAGTACTCGTCTCAAGCTTATCTTTAATTTTCTGAGCACGTTTTAACTGGCTCGATGGCTTGTCAAGTCTGTAATTAGATAGCTCCCTGTCCTCAGGTTGATCATTTGGAATTAAACTCACCTTTGCATATCGGCATATTAAGGAATAGAGTGCGAATGTTCCACCTGCATACAAATAAATATAACTAATTATTCGATATATATATAATTCGAATTCGGATCTTCTCCTGATCTGAGTTTACCTGATCATATGCATAATTGAAATTTACGCAGATGCTATTTAGTTTTGCCTAATAGAATAAGGCTTCTGTTAAAAAGAGTTATTTTTTCAAGACTTCAGAAATAATTATTAATCAATCAAAAACTCAATCCACCTTTGCAATTCTTTTCGTTAGTCTCATAAATAATTCATATATCAGTTTTTAAAGACTCTTTTCAACGAATTTTTTATTAATTAATAATAGAGCTACAACGTTAACATAATCCTTAAATATTCCTCAACTTGATTAAATAATATTATATTGAGAAGTTGACTGAATAACTCTACCCACCATGTGCTTAAGCACTTAGAAATTAAGGAACATTAGGTAACTGAAAACTCCATCAGCATTTTTTAAGTCTCCTTTTACTATCGTCTATTAATGTTTATAGAGAAAATGTTGTCACCCATTTTTACTAAAAAACTGAAAAAAACCTACAAAGGGAAGAAAGGGAGGAAACTGTAAAAGAAAAAGACTTTCTAAACGAGGACGACTAAACAGGAAGAAGAGATATCTATTATAGAATATCTTTCACCATCCCTTCTCTTGATAGAAAAGGAAGGATCTGAACAAAAATCAAAGAAACAAAAGAGATCCGAGTTAATGGAAAGAAAAAAAGAGAAATGCATGAATTCCATTTTCACTTTAACGTTAAAAACTATAAAATTTTATCTTTTAACATTAATAGTAGTACTAAACTATGGTGTGGAAATTAAAAAAATCGGATGTCCGCATTACAGGATGATGGTTAAGATTTCAAAAGAAGTATAGATATACAGCAAAACTAACCATCTCCGTTGTCATTTGCCCACAACACAATGAAGACATATTTGATCAAGGGAACAAGCACAATAGTGTAGATGATGAGTGACAACACTCCAAGAATATCGTCATTATTTTTTATGCCATCGGTGAAAGTGCTGGCATAAACATAAAGTGGAGAGGTTCCAATATCTCCATACACAATCCCAATGCTCTGGAATGCAAGAATGAACGTTGTCCTCCAATCAACCTGCAAATAATTCAGAACAATATGGAATCATTTTCCAGGGAGCCAAACACAAAGCAAAAATCCTGAAAGTGTTATAATTATTTTTATACAAACCTTGGAGCCATGACCATGCGTCCTGGAAATTCTTCCAGCCTCCATATTGAGAGAGTCGATTCGACGCAGCTTCGCCCATGAAACCTTTTTCTCTTTCAGGTTTCTTTCCATTTCCAGGGTCTCAATTCCTTCAGGTTTACTATCTGCCATTTTCTGCTTCAGGTTTTGTCCCGTGAAGGTGGCTTTTTTGGTTTACTTCCAGTGTTGCTTTAGGGATTTATAGGCATAAAAGTCAGACCTGCTACATTATTCTATTGTTCAATCATGAATTATTTTAACTTAGACGTGTTACTTTAATTTATTTGTCCTTTTCCGTCTTTGTCATAAGTTGTAACTACATTATTCTTTTTCCTTAATTAATTTATTACTTATTATTATGTCACAAATTGTGAATTATGCAACAAAACGTCTTTTTAATAAGACCATTCATCCAATTTCTTTTTAATTGGCTAAGTAAATAAATCTTATCTAGCCTTTTCACTCTAGACTCTAGTGCTAGAGTTAAAAAAAAAAAATTTAATTTTTTTTTTAATTTTTTAATTTTTAGAAAGTTAAAACAACTCTTATATACATTTACTATCTTTTTTAAAAACAATATATTTTATTTCTTAATTTTGTTAATAAAATATAATTAGTTAATTCATTTGTCAGTTTAAAAACTAAATTCCAGTGACTCTAGTGCTAGTCACGTGGACCCTAGCGCTAGAGTCACTTTAGCGCTAAAGTTGCCAGAGTGAAGAAATGTAAGTTGTGTATGGATAAAAATGGAACAAAAGTAGATGAAAAGAGCTTATAAAAAAAAGTCATATTTTAACTTGTCAAAAGGAAAAAGATCTTTTAAGTAGTTTTCTCATTAAAGATATAATATTAGATATATAATTCTTTGTACAAATTGATGTAGAATAAAATTATAAATATATATAAAAAGTCAACTCAGTAAATATAGATAAATGATGTGTCAATGAAAGAGCTTTGTAAGTTTAGTTTGAAAACGTAGCTCTAAACAATAAAAATATGTATATAGAAAATCAACATAATAAATAAGGATGAATGATGTAACAATAAATAAAAAAAAAATTATCTAAATTTGAGTATAAATGTATAGTACTAGTCAAATAACGAAATCTTAAATATAAAAAATGGACTATAGCCAAATAGCTTATCATTTATGACCAAAACCATGTATATAAAGTGCATAAGATGTTATAACAATCACTAATTAAAAGTCAAGTATGGCCAAATAGCTTGCCACTATTTATGATCATCACATTCATCTTTATCGTATAGGGTGCTTAATACTATAGTAAAAGAATGGTAATACTACATTGACCGGCCGTTCGTAAAAGGAATGGTCATTCCACACAGAACAGTCATTCCTTCTTTATGGAATGGTTGTTCATTCTCGTTCCTCAAGGAACCGTCATGTATGAAGGAACAATCATTTCTTGATAAAGAACAATCGTTCCTTCCTAGTCGTTCCTTCAGCTGTTCCTTATGAAAGAACAATCATTCCGTCATATGGAACGATCATTTGTCCTTAAGGAACGATAGTTCATGTTTAATAAAAGTCGTCAGTTGACGTGTTAATGCCAACTCAGGTGCCATGTCGGTTTGTAAGATTCGTTTGTCAACATATCTTTATTTTAAAGGTTATATTAACATAAAAAATATTGCATATTTTCTTTTTATTTTGTGTTATTTTCCATAACACCAACAACTTACTATCTTTATCTAGCTCAGCGAGGTTTAGTTTATTATCAAAATATAGATATAAATACCCACTATGGGGCCATTTTTATAGTTGCCAACATTAATTAATTATGAATAATTTCTTAGGAAAGTTGATTTGTCATAGATTTGTACTAAAATTAAAGAGATTCTTCTACTTACAGATTGCATATTTTTATAAGAAACGACAACTTTCCGATTTAAATATTGAAGGGATGAAAAATTTGATTGATTTTATCATGTAAACATTTTTAATTATAGTATGACATGGTCAAACGCAATTGGCTACCATATATATCACTTGTTTACTAGAAAATAACAACAACAACAACAATAATAATAACAATAATAATACATTTGCGGGTGTGAATTAAGAAATAATCTTTATAAAAGTATCTCAAAAAATAGCTTTATTCCAAAATTTCAATACCCTTTGACCAAATGATCATTTCCAAACTAAAAACCCAAAGTGACTAATGCGAATGCTATTGGTCACTGATAAGAATTTTATCAGTTTCTATCAAAAGTTTATTAGTCATTTCTTAAGATATTTTTAAAACATGTCATTTTTTAATCGAGATCTCAAAGATGGATTATTTAATATAATTTCCTTTATATTATTATTTCGAGTAGTAATTAATATTTGATTATGTGATTAATTAGTACTAGTTTGAATGCAATAGATTTGAGATGATAAAAATATAAAAAATATTATTAATCTAATTAGATAGTAATTCAATAATTTGTAATTTTGTATTGATATAATAATAATTGAAGCATTCTTTGGTACAACTATAAAAATTACTGTCTCATTCATAGTTCCATCATTGTCGTTTTGAATTTAAAACTTGTTAATAGTTAAATCAATAAAAGGAACTCTGACATGTCAGTTGAGTTAGTAGTATCACACCTCGGATATAAAATGATTTTGACTAGACCTAAGAAATGACCGTTCATAAAAGGAGCGATCGTTCTTCATGGAAAGAAAGGTCGTTCCTCTCTACGGAACGGCCATTCTCGTTTCTCAAGGAACGACTATGTATGAAGGAACAATCATTTGTTGATAAGGAACGACTGTTCCTTGTTAGTCGTTCCTCATGAATAGGGATGGGCACAAAGCCCGGCCCTGCGGGGGTCCGCCCTGACCCGCCCCAAACGGGGCGGATTTTTCTCAAATTTTTCTGGATTCGGGTCGAGATCGGGCCCAAATTTGGCCCCAAAATTTGAGGACGGGCCAGGGCCGGGATAGGTGTTGCCCCGGCCCGCCCCGTCCCCAGCCCGTATATATATATATTAATTTTAATATTTGAAAATCAATTATAAATTATACATTATACAATAATATATATATATATATATATGTTGTACATTATAATTTATACATAATATGCTATTATCTATAATCTTACGTTAATATATAATATATATGTAATATATTATTTTTTGTTTTGATTGATTATAATGAATCAATAAATCACTATAATTTTTTTTTTGTCCCTCATTGAATCTTTATTTCAATTCTATTACCTAATTGTCTTTGTTATATTGTGAATTGTGATAGTTATTTATTTAGAATTTATTATAATATATATGTATAATGTATCATATATAATACATTATATTATATATTAAAGAGACATTATATATGTATACTTATTACTTAATACAATAATACATAATATCATACTGTTAATATATAATATATTTATATATATGTATAATGTATTATAATTATTATTTTGATATTTGGATTCATTATAATAATTAATCAGGGGCGGATCCAACACTTGTTGAGAACTTGAAGGTGGGCATTTGAACAAAAAAATACTAATATGTATAATTTCTGGATTTTGCCCTACCATAATAGAATTGTTAATTGAAAAAAAATATTAATGTATAATTAATTTTTATTTTGACCAACCCTAACATAAATTTTTGGATTCGCTATTGATTATAATAACGAATCCAAAAAAATTTTGTTTCTGAATCTTGATAGTTGATACTGTAATGTATAGAATCTACTGAAGTACTGATGTGGATAGTTGATACTGTAATGTATAGAATCTACTGAAGTACTGATGTGGATAGTTGATACTGTAATATATTATCAATTTAGTATGATGATTTTTATATTTAATATGTATATTATATATTTAATTTTTTTTTTTTTTTGTTGGTATATATAATTTGGAGAAAATAATAATAAAAGTATAAAACAAAGGATAAAAAATACAAAAAAACCCCCAAACAGGGAATTCGGGGGAACGAGCTTTTTTCGGGCCAGGACCGAGGAATCCCCTTGGGTTTTTNGAATGCATTTGTTGTGTAATTAGTTGATTGGATGATACAGGTTGATAGGTTGTACTTGTTAACGTTGTACCAACTAGTGGTGTTTAAGGGTTTAGCGTTTTTCGGTTAGTCAATGATAGTCTTTAACCAATCGATCTGTAACTAAGACGACGGGGAGACAGGATAGATTATACCTAGCTTGCCGGAAGCCATTTCATTGATTTGCCTAGCCTTGTAGGATTAGGAAATTGAAGAGCGAGGAGAGGAATTGTGAGAGTTGGTCTTGAGTCAAACCAAACCCGTAGCAACAACGCTTTTAATATCGTGTTTTAGTTAGCAATTTATTTAATGCTTTTAATTTCCTACAAGTAATTAGTTTCCTTAGTTTTAATCAATCATTTTGCCAATTTCTCTTTCGTTAACAAAAATATACATTAGGTCGTTAGTCTTGCTCTCTGTGGATTCGACCTTGCTTACCGCTAACTACTGTATTTAGGTTTAATTTTGTGACCATGACGACTGGTCTAACACCATTCCGTGTGAAGGAATAGTTGTTCCTTTCCTTATGAAGGAATGGTTATGAAGGAACTACCATTCCTTCACAAGGAACGGTTGTTCATCCCTGAAGAACGACTGTTCATGTTTAGTGAAAGTCGTCAGTTGACGTGTTCATGCCAACTCAGATGCCACGTTGGTGAGATTTGTTTGTCAATGTAGTAATACTAAGTGTTAATAAATATTAATGCAATTAACTAGAATTATTATGTGTACAAACTAATGTATACAAACTGTAGACGTAAAAATCTACCTGTACGGAAGAAGGGACTGATCTCGTGAGGTTGAGGCCACTAGCAATCTGTTGTACCTGCACACATAAAGAAACACATGTGAAGCAACGAAAAACACCAGGGTGGTGTTTGCTGTAGGCACTCCGACGCTCAAGTCAGCAAGGCTGAAAGACTTATTTAGTGAGGGCTAGGGAGTAGAGAGGTTACTAGAAGTCTAGTCAGGGACTGTGACTACAGTTGTGATGTGAAGTTCTCAGCTAGAACTTCGGGGTTTGTAGGTGTAGTGTAATCTGCCTTGTGAGAGGGCTGCCCTCTGTTTAAATAGTGACTGTCTAGTCTCCCAATCCTGGTGGGATTGGGAGTTCTC